ACGGAGAGCCCCTTGCACGCACGGCCCATTTGGGGAATGTAGTGAACGACGGTGCATTGGTGGACTTCACCGGGTGCGGGCGCTGGTGGGTGGGTCTTTACGCAGGCGTTCCGGGTCGTGCTGTCCACGTTTGGGACGGTAACACTGAAGAGCTACTCTACGTAAACACAAACCTGACCGACCCAGAAGCCGTAATAGGATGGCACACGTTGACCGAGTTGACCGACACCATCGGCCGAGTTCGGGTGACGAGTCAGGAATCGGCGGTTGCCTGCACGGGTTTAAGATACATGGTTCTTGGCTTGAGAAACCCGGAGTTTCCATTACACGATCGGGAGTGCAGGAGAGGACTCACAGTGACGTCGTTCGACACCAACAGCGAGGCGTTCATCATGGTGGACAACCGTGGGTTGGCAATAGTTCGCCGTGTGGATACACTAGAGGAGGTTTGCCGATTCAACACAAGGCAGAGGAACGTCAACGTCATGGGTTGCATGAACCTGGGGTACGCGCTAATGTGTTCGGGGGTGTAATAAGGGTGTGGGAAATAGAGCAGGGTCGCTCTTTGTATAGTCTGGACGAGAATATAGAGGGTGTCAACGCCATGGTGGCAGATGATACACACGTGGCAGCAGCGGGTAGTGACACGAGGATACACCTATGGGATTTTGGTGCACGGTAGGATTAAGATTCTAAGCGGTTTAGGGCGTAGGATAAAAGCTTAGGGTTTAGGGAGAGCCATTGTACTTTAGGGTAGTGACATATCGAAAGGGAACGTTGTCTGTTGTCTCTTTCGAGGTGTGTCTTTAATTTAATGTGTATGTACTTTGGGTTTAGATTTTAGATATATTTCGTGGGGAAGGGAAACTGCCAAGAAAATCTGGTTTCTTTAATTTTTTTAGTTAAGGATAGAATGGGATTTTTGCAATTGGGGGTAGGTGGGTTTCTTTCTTCCTTTTGTTAGTCTTTTGGTTTCTGGGGGAGGTTTATTTCTGATTTTATGTATTCTTTGTTTTAGTAAAAGAATGCATTCTTTGGGACTAAACAAGAAGCTAAACTTGTTCCTTTCGCTTTTATCTTATCTACTTTGAAGGTTATATTATAATTGTTATGATAAGGTGACCGATTTATCTCTTATGTTTATATTTACGTATTTATTTTATTGATTTTAAAAAATATAATATACGATTATTTTTATATATTTAATTAATTATTATACGATTTGAATCATGGTTATTTTTATTTTTAATTAATTAATATATAATCACTACAGATTAATTATCGTTAATTAAGTAATGTGATGTTTTGGTACATCATATTCAGTCCTTATTATTTTATATTATCTTAATTTAATTATATTTTAATAAATTAAAATATATTTAATAATTTAAAGTAATAATATAATATATTTAGTAAATAGATATACTTTGATAAGTTAAAGCAATAATAATAAAATATATTTTTAAACTTTAAATAAGAATAAAATATATTTTTAAACTTTAAATAAGAATAAAATATACCTTTTAAATAAAAATAAAAATAAAATACTTTTTAATTAATTTAATAATAAAAATATATTTAATAAGTTTAAAGTTAATATATATATATATATATTCAAGTTAAGTACTTATATTTTATATATAAAGTATACATCATGATGTTTATTTTAGACCAAACATTTATTTTGGTTTAATGGTTGGATACATGTTTGGTTTCTCAAGTGACCCAGATTCATATGCATTTGAGTGACACGTGATATCATTCGATTGAAGAATTAAATTTATTTTAATTCATTAAAATATGACTAAATTGAGAGAATATATAAATAATAGAGAATATTATACTAAAATAAAAATAGCCATATATTATGTTTTAAAATCAATAAAAAAAAAACAAAATACAAATAAAAGCGATGAATCATATACTTAATCTTATATTATATATATCATGTTGCAATGGATCTAATTTATATAAAGATATGCATTTTACGATGAAAAACATAAAGGATTTGTATTTTATGTAATAGAAATCTCGAAAAGGTATTATTTATTATAGATATAATCTACATTTTTAACAAATGAAATCTAGTTTAAATTATTTATATAAATTGGCCACAGTGCCGGCTCTCAGAGGAACACTTTGAGCAACCGCTTAGTGTCTCTAATTTTTTTTTGTTTTTAAAATTAGGACTTTTAATTTTTATATTTATAATTAAGATCCTTAATTTTTATAATTTCATAAAATTTTTAATTTTAACTCTATTTTACTATTTGTGTTATTAATTCATCCGATATTGAATCAAATTTACCATTTTTTATATTTATAATTACGACCCTAATTTTTATAATTTCATAAAATATTTACTTTTTGACTTTCTTTTTCATTTCTCTTATTTATTCATTTAATTTTGAATTAAATTTAATCATGTTTTTCTTTTTCTTCAAATCTTATTCTACAATTTATCAAATATTATTTATTTAGTCTTTTTCATTCACGATCTAGCAATAAAATAATATACAATTCTTTTTATTTATTTTATTTAAAAATCATGCTATGTATCATACATGCATTCATTTTTTTTCTATTTATTCTCTTTTAGTTGTATTTAATGTGTTTTCTTAGTAAAGTAATAAAAATAATATATTTTCACAAAATTTAATCATTTTTCTACGATTTATTTATGTAATATTGAATTAATTGTTCAAAGTAATGAAATATACTTTTATTTTATAAATGTATATTTTTGAGTTTTGGTTCAGGACCCCAAATGTCTGTGACGGCTTTGATCGGCCAAAATTTGAATAATAATAAAATTAAAAAAGCTAGTCTAATTATTGATAAATACATAAAATTCAATTGTTGGTTTTTTAGTTAATTTGTTGGATACATGTGATTGAATTGGCCCGGTTTTTACTAATTATTTAGAGTATAAAATATTAAAAAGTAAGATACAGAAATAATTATTAAATTATATTAAAATGATTTTTCTTTTCACAACTGAAATAATTATTAGATTAATTGGGATTTTTTTAATATTATGTTTAGCCAAAACTACTATAAATATTGAACTTCACTTTTGTTCTAAACCCACCAAAGAAAATTGAGGACTTGTCTCACACTTGGTCTCTTAAACCATTTAGAATTTGTTGAGTATTTTTGTCGAGATTCTTTGTTGTTTTCCAATATTGTTTTATAACAAAAGAATTGGTTGAATTTTAGTAGACACATTATACGGCACAATATTATTAAAAACAATATCCAACTCACACCACTTCAACCAGCAATGTCCCCCAGGGATGGATAGCTTTAAACACAGATGGATCTGTATATAACATCACAGGCAGAAGCTCCATTAGTGGTGTTTTCCGTGATGAAGATGGCTCTTGGATCACTCGTTCCATCGGTATCAAAGACCCGCTCCAAGCTGGTCTACACATTGCTTGGTCCCTTGGTTTTGAATTCTTACAGGTTCAATCGGATTGCTCAGCGGCTGTGGTCCTAATCAACTTTCCTGAAGCTCACAACAACAATCAATCCCTTATCTGTGCCATTGACTCTCTTCGACGCCGTGGATGGGCGACTGACGTCATTTGGATTCCCCGCCACCATGCAAACAAAGTTGCAGATACACCACCAGCGCTATGACCTAACCATACATGATGATCCTCCTCGATCTATTCTCCCACTTTTATCCCAAGAAGCTATCTCCTCTATTGTAAAGCCTACTGAGGCTAATATTTAGTTAGTTTCCTCTCTCTCAAATCTAATATTTAGTTAGTGTTTACAGGGAATAGATGAATTAGTGTTTAAGAATATGGCCTTGCAGCGTTCCAAGCATACTTAATTTCCGGCCATTATCATTGGTAGTCATTCATTTTAATTTATACGAAGACTTTATTAGGGGTGTATCCTGAGCGATCGCTCAAGGCTCCACCTTTTATAGGATCTCTAATCTTTTTACAGCATTTTTTATTTTTATAATTAAGTCTTTTAATTTTTTTAATTTTAATTTATTATTTTATAATTGAAGTTCCTAATTTTCATAATCCTACATTTTATATTTGTAATTGAGCCTTTTAATTTTTTTCAATATCAACTTTTTACATTTACAATTGATGACCCTAAGTTTTTCAATCCCACTTTGCATCTTTATAATTGAACTTCTAATTTTTTTAATCTCATTTTTTTATTTTTATAATTGAGGCCCCTAATTTTTTCAATCTCATTTTTTATTTTTATAATTGAGGCCCCTAATTTTTTAATCTCACTGTTACAATATCAGAACGATTATCATCAAACAAATATACACGATCAAAAAAGAAAAACAAAGAACGCTAAGATTTACGTGGAAAACGCAAAAGGAAAAAACCATGGGCAGATGAGAAGAATTTTACTAATATGAAGGAAGAAAATACAAGAAAATTTTGGAGAAAGATAAACTTGATATCTAATTGTTACCATTAGTATCTATGTATAGGGATAGATACCGGAAACTTATAAAGTAGAAATATACTTAAAAGAAAAATAAATTTTCTAATTCTAATCAAACTAGGTTTCTTACTTTCCCCAAATAGCTTAATTAATTTATGTCACTTTGAATTCGAGTCAAATTCTAACACTCACTTTTACTTTTATAATTGAGGTCCCTAATTTTTTCAATCTCACTTTTTACTTTCAAAATGAGGTATCTAATCTTTTTAATCTCACTTTTTACCTTTATAATTGAGGTTCCTAATGTTTTCAATTATACTTTTTACTTTATAATTTATGCCCCTAATTTAATCATCTTATCTATGATTTATTAGTGTAATATTAAATTAATTATTCAAAGTAATAAAATATACTTTCGTTTTATAATCGAAGTCATTGTATGGAGATTTCATTTGTTGTTGAATTGTACTTACAACACCGATGTACACCGGTTGGTTTTGATGCATGGATTGGTCAAACTTTTCTAGAAAAGGGGTTTCCATTTGCAAAATCTAATAAGTGCAACGAATATGGGGCTCTTATTACAATACTTTCTGCTAAAATGCTTGCTCTTCTTAATTCTCCCTCCTTTTTCTGCTCAACATGTTTCCCCAATGCAGCGACCTTGCTTGGATTTTGAACCATCAGCTTTGTTGCAGTTAGAGGAAAGCTTCGTTCTGAACCGATCCGCTTCTGCTTTTTCAAAAGATGATTCATGGAAGCTTGAAGAATGGATTGAAGGGGATTGCTGCTCTTGGGATGGCGTTGAGTGTGTTGGCAATACTGGTCACGTTATCGGACTTGATCTCAGCAGCAGCTTCCTTTATGGTTATATCGACTCCAACAGCAGCCTTTTCCAGCTCCATCACCTTACAAGGCTCAATCTATCGGACAATGACTTCTATGGCTCCGAAATCCCTTCTGCAATTGGGAATCTTTCAATGCTATCCCAATTAGACCTCTCAAACTCGGTCTTTTCAGGTCAAAATTCCATATGAAGTTTTACAGTTGTCGAAGTTGGTGATACTTGATCTCTCCAGGAATCATAATCTAGAGCTCCGAAACCCAAACCTGAAAAGCTTAGCGGAGAGGTTGGTCAATCTGGAGCATCTTGATCTTGACGGAGTAATCGCTTCTTCAGTGGTACCTCGAAGCTTGGCAAGTATGTCTTCTTTGACATATCTCTCGCTTAGGTCCTGTGAGTTGCATGGTGAATTTCCTAACGAGGTTTTTCAACTGCCTCACTTCCCTCTCATTAGCTTACAATGACTTTAGTCCGACCACTTTGTCCTGGCTTGGTACGTTATGTTGGATCATAAACTTGATCCATTATGGGAGCCTAAACCCAAACTCAAACTAAATTGATGTCATTACTTACATCATTTAATTAAAGATGTCATTGCTTACATCATTTAATTAATGATGTCATTGCTTACATCAATTTAGTTAGGTGAGAGTTAGATATTTGTTGAATTTGTAATGGTTTAAATTAGTTTATTTGTGTGGTGTAGGATTGTTCTTGAGTAGTATAAATACCCCTTCCCATTTTAGTTTTAAGCATCAAGAAAAAAAAATTAAGAGCTTCTAAGTGAGTGAAGAAGCAAAGTCTTATAAGAGTGAGTTGTAGTTCTTGTTTTTGAGTAAGAGTACTCTTGTAATATTTGTTTGAGTTTCAATAAAAGTTGTTTGTGTGAGTGTTTTATTTCCAACAAAGTGGCATCAGAGAGTTGGAAAGATCGAAGGTCTCGACGAGAGGAATACGACGCCGTCAGAATTTTCTCAATCTGAGTTCTGACGCACCGCCACGCACCGCCACGCACCGCCGGAAGACTGCTGCCAGAAAATCGAGTTGACTCACCGAGTTGAGCCGATTCAGCCGAGTTGGAGCCCTTGACCGAGTTGTCCAAGTCCCTCCAAAGTTTTTTTTTTCATCGTTCCGGATTCATCCGTGCAATCGGATTTTACAAAATCTCATTATATTGAGAGATATGGCAAATGGTATGGCACCATTCCAAGTTCCGACACTCAACAACAACAACTACGACAATTGGAGTATCAAAATGAAGGCACTTCTTGGATCACAAGATGTGTGGGATATCATAGAGAAAGGCTATAATGAGCCTGCGGATGATGATGTTTTTGCTACTCTTACACCAGATCAAAAGACAACTTTGAAGGATTCAAGAAAGAGAGACAAGAAGGCTCTCTACCTCATCTATCAAGCATTAGATGATGATGGTTTTGAAAAGATTTCAAGTGCAAGCTCTAGCAAGGAAGCGTGGGAGAAGCTGCAAACCTCTTATAAAGGATCCGAGCAAGTGAAGAAGGTTCGTCTCCAAACATTAAGAGGTGAATTCGAATCCTTAACATGAAAGCATCTGAGTCTATTTCAGATTATTTCTCAAGAGTAGTAGCTGTTTCTAATCAATTAAAAAGAAATGGTGAAAAGTTAGACGATGTGAGGATAATAGAGAAGATACTCCGTTCGTTGGATCCCAAATTTGAGCACATCGTCGTGACGATTGAAGAAACTAAAGACTTGGAAGAAATGAAGATCGAACAGCTCCAAGGATCATTGCAAGCATACGAAGAGAAGCATAAAAAGAAGCATGAGTTTACTGAGCAACTCCTCAAGCTGCAACTCAAGGATATGCATGAGAGCCAACGCAATGATAGAAACCAACGTGGCCAAGGCAGAGGTAGAGGCCATGGACGAGGTGGAAGTCGAGGTCGTGGACGAGGCTGGAATTACAACAATAACAATTCCAACAACAACTATGAGAAAGGAGAAAGCTCAACACGAGGCCGTGGAAGAATTAATCCAAACTCAAAGTATGACAAATCTCAAATTCGATGTTATAATTGTCAAAATTTGGGCATTATGCTTCAGAATGTAGAGCTCCCAACAACAAATTTGAGGAAAAGGCCAATTACGTGGAGGAAAAGACAGATGGCAAAGAAACTCTTCTTCTAGCACGAAAGGAAACTGATGGTGGCCAAGCAAATTCCTGGTATCTTGACAGTGGTGCAAGCAATCACATGTGTGGAAGGAAAGACATGTTTGTGGAGCTAGACGAGTCAGTAAGTGGAAATGTTTCGTTTGGAGATGATTCCACAATAGCAGTGAAAGGGAGAGGTAACATTCTTATCCGTTTGAAAGATGGGAGACATCAATTTATTTCAAATGTCTACTATGTGCCCAATATGAAAAGTAACATTTTAAGTTTAGGGCAACTAGTAGAGAAAGGTTATGATATTCATATGAATAATTATAATCTTTCTATAAAAGATGATAAGAATAACTTCATTGCTAAAGTGCCGATGTCAAAGAATAGAATGTTCTTGATCAACATACAAATGATGTTGCAAAGTGCCTGAAAGCTTGCTACAAAGATGCATCATGGCTTTGGCATCTTCGATTTGGGCATCTCAATTTTGGAGGTCTAGAGCTATTATCTAAGAAGGAGATGGTGAAAGGACTACCTCACATCAACCATCCTGACCAACTCTGTGAAGGGTGTCTAGTCGGAAACAATTCAGGAAAAGCTTTCCAAAGGAGTCAGAGACAAGAGCTAAGAAGCCACTTGAGCTCATCCATACCGATGTGTGGACCGATCAAGCCAAGCTCTCTCGGTAACAATAACTATTTTCTTCTCTTCATTGATGATTTTTCAAGAAAAACCTGGGTATATTTCTTGAAACAGAAGTCAGAAGTTTTTGAAGTCTTTAAGAAGTTCAAAGCAGCAGTGGAGAGAGAAAGCGGTAGAAAGATCAAAGCCATGAGATCCGATCGAGGTGGAGAATTTACTTCCAGGGAGTTTCAAGAGTTCTGTGAAGCAAATGGAATTCGTCGACCAATGACAGTTCCTAGATCCCCCCAGCAAAATGGTGTGGCAGAAAGAAAGAATAGAACAATCCTCGACATGGCACGAAGCATGCTCAAAAGCAAGAAACTACCCAAAGAATTTTGGGCGGAAGCAGTATCGTGTGCAGTCTACTTGTCAAATCGATCTCCAACAAGAAGTGTATGGGGAAAGACACCGCAAGAGGCATGGAGTGGAAGAAAGCCTGGCATTTCCCACTTGAGAATCTTTGGAAGTATAGCCCATGTTCACGTACCAGACGAGAGAAGAACGAAGCTTGATGATAAAAGCGAGAGTTTTATCTTCATCGGCTATGATGCTAATTCGAAGGGCTACAAGTTGTACAATCCAGACAATAAGAAGTTTGTGATTAGTCGAGATGTGGTCTTCAACGAAGAAGGAGAATGGGATTTTAACTCTCATACAGATGACTTCAATTTCTTTCCTCAGTTTGAAGAAGATGAGCAGACAATAAGGGAGCAACTAGATGAATCTCAACAAGAGCTTGCAACTCCACCCACTTCACCAACATCAACCACTCAAGGAGACTCATCACCTTCTCATCATCAAGTGGGAGTCAAAGTGAAAGAGTTGTGCAACGCACAAGAAGCCTTAGAGATCTCTATGAGGTAACTGAACGACAAGATAATCTTACATTATTTTGTCTGTTTGCCGATTGTGAACCAGTGAGCTTTCAAGAAGCGGTACAAGAAAAGAAATGGAGAGATGCGATGGACGAAGAAATCAAGGCCATCGAGAAGAATGACACATGGGAACTTACCTCACTTCCCAAGGGACATAAGGCGATAGGTGTCAAATGGGTGTACAAAACAAAGCAAAATGCCAAAGGAGAGATTGAAAGGCACAAGGCGAGGCTAGTTGCTAAAGGCTATAGTCAAAAGGCTGGAATTGACTATGATGAGGTATTTGCTCCTGTTGCTCGATTGGAGACTATCAGACTAATCATTTCTTTGGCAGCTCAAAACAAGTGGAAGATACAACAGATGGATGTAAAGTCCGCCTTCCTAAATGGAGTTCTTGAAGAGGAACTTTACATTCAGCAACCATCAGGCTATGAAGTCAAAGGGCATGAAGACAAGGTGTTGAAGTTGAAGAAGGCTCTTTACGGGCTAAACAAGCACCAAGGGCATGGAATAGCCGAATCGACAAGTACTTCCAAGAGAATGGTTTCAACAAATGTCCCTACGAGCATGCTCTATATCAAGATCAAAGATGAAGATATTTTGATCGTGTGCCTCTACGTGGACGATTTGATCTTCACTGGAAGCAACCCAAGCATGTTTAATGAATTCAAGGATGTGATGATGAAAGAATTCGAGATGACAGACATGGGGCTCATGGCGTACTACCTTGGCATTGAAGTTAAGCAACAAAATGATGGAATTTTCATTTCACAGGAAAGCTATGCAAAGGAGATACTGAAGAAGTTCAAGATGGAGAACTGTAAGCCAATAAGCACACCGGCAGAATACGGGATCAAGATGACCAAACATGAAGAAGGCGAAAGTGTAGATCCAACATTCTTCAAAAGTTTGGTAGGAAGTCTACGCTATCTAACTTGCACGAGACCCGATATTCTTCACGCAGTTGGATTGGTTAGTCGCTACATGGAATCCCCAACAACCATCCATTTTAAAGCTGCAAAGAGAATTCTTCGCTATCTGAAAGGTACAATTGACTTTGGCTTGTTCTATTCAGTTTCTAATGATTACAAGCTTGTTGGATATAGCGATAGTGATTGGGGTGGAGACATAGATAATCGAAGGAGCACTACTGGATTCGTATTTTTCATGGGAGATATTGCATTCACATGGATGTCAAAGAAACAACCGATTGTCACATTGTCCACTTGTGAAGCGGAATATGTTGCTGCTACCTCATGTGTTTGTCATGCAATTTGGCTTAGAAATCTATTGAAGGAGATTGGTTTGATACAAGAAGAGCCTACCAAGGTTTGTGTCGACAACAAGTCAGCCATTGCCTTAGCGAAGAATCCAGTATTCCATGATCGAAGCAAGCACATTGATATTCGCTACCACTATATAAGGGAGTGTGTTGCAAGAAAAGATGTGGAAGTTGAATATGTGAAGTCACAAGATCAAGTTGCTGATATTTTTACCAAGCCACTGACCAGCGAAGACTTCTTAAGATTAAGGAACCTACTAGGGGTCACGAGATCAAGTTTAAGGGAGGGTGTTGGATCATAAACTTGATCCATTATGGGAGCCTAAACCCAAACTCAAACTAAATTGATGTCATTACTTACATCATTTAATTAAAGATGTCATTGCTTACATCATTTAATTAATGATGTCATTGCTTACATCAATTTAGTTAGGTGAGAGTTAGATATTTGTTGAATTTGTAATGGTTTAAATTAGTTTATTTGTGTGGTGTAGGATTGTTCTTGAGTAGTATAAATACCCCTTCCCATTTTAGTTTTAAGCATCAAGAAAAAAATTAAGAGCTTCTAAGTGAGTGAAGAAGCAAAGTCTTATAAGAGTGAGTTGTAGTTCTTGTTTTTGAGTAAGAGTACTCTTGTAATATTTGTTTGAGTTTCAATAAAAGTTGTTTGTGTGAGTGTTTTATTTCCAACACGTTATCCAAACTCACTCTTTTGGATGTAGCTGATGTAGCTTCCACAAACTCGTATGGAGACATCCTACCTTCTCTAATAAACCTTACTAGTCTTGCAGATCTTCGACTTCTTCAAAATCAATTTTCCAGCCAAATCCCATCTTGGTTTGGAAATCTTACTCGGCTGACCAATTTGGAACTTGGTGACAATAACTTTTGGGGTTTGGTACCAGAATCGATATTTACTCTAACAAAGCTTTATTCTCTTCATTTAGTGAATAATCACCTCAGCAGCTCCTCCAAATTAGGATCCTTTCTAAATCTTAAAAGCCTCAAGGGGCTCCAACTGTCTGGCAATAAGTTTTCATTTGTCACCACACCTGTTATGAATGCGACTGTTCCCAAGTTCACAAATCTAACATTGGGTTCATGCAACTTAATTGAGTTCCCAGATTTTCTTTGGGGTCAAGACGAATTGGACTATCTGGATCTTTCTGATAACAAAATCCACAGGCTTATCCCCAAATGGATATGGGGCTTATCTGCTCAAACTCTTCAAGCTTTAACTTTAAGAGGAAACTTCTTTACAGGGTTCCACCAACCAGCTGTTGTGTCCCTCCATGGACCAATCTAAGATTTTTGGACCTAAGCTCTAACAAGCTACGAGGGAGCCTTCCAGTTCCACCTGCTTCCATTTACTATTACCGTGTCTCAAACAACTTATTGACAGGAGAAATCTCATCAATTATCTGCAATCTGCCTTCCATATCTGTACTTGACATATCAAATAACGGCTTCAGTGGCACGCTTCCTCCATGTTTGGGCACTCTGAGCAAATCACTCACAGTACTAAATCTCCAAAACAACTTTCGATGCCCTATTCCTCAAGCATGTGAAAAAGGAAGCCAAGTGAAAGAGATTGACCTTAGCCAAAATCAACTGAAAGGACATATCCCGAGATCACTTGTCAACTGAAACATGCTAGAGTTTCTTAATTTGGGAAACAACCAATTTGAGGATATGTTTCCCTCTTGGTTGGGAAGGCTTCAAGAGTTGAAAGTTCTCAAGGCATAATGGATTTCATGGTGCAACCGGAAAACCAAAATCCAATGAGTTCCCCAAGTTGCGAATCCTTGATTTCTCCTTCAGTAAATTTGAAGGTGGTTTGCCAGCTCATCATTTCCGAGGATGGAAGGCCATGAAAATTGTTGATCTTGGCAACTTAAATTACTTGCAAGCAAGTTTCGGTTTTCGAGCACCAAGCCATACTCAATGACAATGACAGAGGCAGGCTTGGTAACGAAATACGAGAAGATTCAAGACATCTTGGTAGCCATTGATCTGTCAAGCAATAGATTTGAAGGAGGCATTCCACAAGACATTCAGATTTTAAAGGCAGTTCAATTCCTCAACCTTTCCAACGACTTGCTTTCAGGTCCGATTCCGTCATCATTGGCGAATCTGACACAACTGGAAGCTTTGGACCTTTCTCAGAACCAACTCTCAGGAGAGATCCCTCAAGAGCTAACGCAACTAAATTTCCTTGGATTTTTTAATGTCTCTGGTAATCAGTTGAACGGACCCATACCACAAGGCAACAGTTCGGCACGTTAGAAAACAACTCATTTGAGGGCAACCCTGGATTATGCGGGAAACCATTGTCAAAGGAATGCAATCACAAGGGCCCATCAGCACCATCGAGTACAGTGTCAAAGGAAGATGAATCATGGTTTGAATTTGGGTGGAAGGCAATTTTGTTGGGGTTTGGAAGTGGGGTGGTGAACGGAGGGGTTCTTGGATACCTCTTCTTCAACCCCATGAAACACAAGTTATTTGTTAAGTATTTTGGGAGGGAACTGCAGAATCGGGGGAGGGGCAGCAGGAATTAACTCAATGCTTGGTTTTCGGCTTTGCCTATTGCTGTGAATAAAGTTATGTATGTTAAGTTGTCACATGTACAATTATTAATGTATTATAAATGAAATAATAATATAAAACATATTAATGGTCTAAGGTGGAAATATTTATTTATTTTTATAAATTTCGGATTTAAACGATTGTATCTATGATGTGTATATGTTATTAATAGGATAAAAAATTATGAACATATACTTTTATAATCACTCAATAATAATAAAAAATAAAAAATATAAATCAATGTGTATTATGCCCATTTAACTCTAAAGGAGTTCAATTTTTAGTGTAAAATGAAAAATTGATTCAAATTTTATTGAATTTGATTTAATTTTAATTTTTGTAATAATTACTTTTTATAAATTCCCAGAATCGGTCATTATTTATTGAAACATGAAAGTAATTAATGAAAAACATAGAGCTGCCCATAGCATAATAAATGGCATAAATCCTTAAGAATCCCTCCAAACTTAGGCTAAGGGAAATTAGCTATATTCCAAAACATAGAGCTGTCCATAACACCTAAAACAAAACTAAATGTCATAAATCCTGGAAATTAGCGTACTTAATTTCAAGCAGAATAATAAGCTTTACATGAATATCAAATATGCCATGTTTTTCTTCCCGCTTTTGAAGTTTATCATCTACATGATGTTGGACAGAATTTCAGTGTTCAATCCGTTTGAAAACATGGACTTGCAGACAAAATAATCCCATTGATCTTCGGAAATTTGCTCAACCCACTTTTTTCACAGGTAGATTTTGGTCTAAATCAAAGAAATATCGCTTCTTATTTTCTTGAAGCACAAACACTATACATTGTCACATTAGTACCCAACCAACCAAGCATGGTGAAGACTAGCCACATGATTAATTATTTCTTTCCTTATTCACCCAAACACTGTTTTTGAGCTTAATTTCCCAGCAAACTCATATTCGAGATTTGGTGGGGAAAATTAGCTTGAAAAGGGTGCCCCATGTCAGAGTTTCATCAAATAGTAGCCTTTTGTCAGTATGTTAATACCAGTTTGTAATTTGGATTAGAAGTTTCCGTGCAAAAGTAACCCTTAAAACAAGGAAAGTCCAACCAAATCTCTTAAACCCTTGGGAAGAACAAAAACCCAGCAAGAAAATGTACAACCAGAACCAGTTTGTATCTGAAATCGTTGAAAACAATGAGGACTTTGAGATTCCATGATGGGTCATTTGAAGCTAAGAGAGTAGTTAGGGCAAATATGGCATGTTGTATAAAGGCATTTTGAGTTATAACCCTAGGTGGATGTAATTTCGTATTTTGTTTTTTGCAGGTACTCTTCTGTTTACCTTGGATCTCCTTGTTTGTTTTCTTTTACATTGTTTTCCATTGTTTTAATTTTTCCTCTATGGATTCAATGCAATATAATCCATGTTAACAAATACTTACTACTTGATATTTATGTCTGTTGACCTTTCTTATTGCTTTAAACAATTGCATATTTAATGGCGTTAATGCAAATGGGGACCCTTTCCTGCAGAAACTACAGAGAACCTGGTCATATAGATATCTTCAAACAGATAAATTTGGTTCGGCTTTTTTTTTATTTAAACTCTGCTTGGAAAATGAGAAGTACTGAGTTTTTCCATGGAAATCGTTACCCTAAACCCAACCCCAATACATCTTCTCCTAAATCTTGTAAGGTATATTGTCAAAAATTGATCCTAACGTTTGTTGGAATATTCATTTTGATTTTTAATTTTTAATATTTTAATCCTCGACGTTTGAATTTTTAATCAAAACAACACATGTTTGATGGAAATTGTTAATTGTTTCTAAGTTAACGCATATATTTGACGTAACGTTTATATTTGTGCTAAATTATTGATGTGTTATATATGATGTCACCCAAGATGATGATATGTCCTATGCCACGATACCCAAGATGATGACGTAGCATGTACTATATCATATCGACAATTAAGCACGTATAGAAATATCTCGTCAATAACATGCGGTGACAGTTAGTCAACTAAAAGTTTTCATTAAATGATTTTCATTGTGATAGAAAAAATTAAGACTAAAATACTTCAAAAAAGAATAACGATTAAAATGATCATTTCATATGAATGTTGGGGGCTAATTTTGTCAATATTCCGTCTCGTAAATAGGCACAATTACCTAGATACCTCCCGCAAGAAGCAAATGAACAAAACCAAGTAATCAGATTAAAAAGTGGAGTGAATGGTCAATTTACTGGTCCATGTTTTGCAATGAAAGTTGTACAATTTTGCAGAAAGCAGATGGATGTATGACTTGAGAAGAAATGGTGAAAACTCCTACGTACAAAAATGTTTGAACATTTAGCCAATGTTCCTTTTCCCTTTTAAGGACTCAAAGTACAAAATGATAGTAGTAGTCATTAGGGGAGTGAGTGAAACTGTGAAAACTTCTAATCACTTTACTGGTTTCTCCTTGTAAGCTTGCAATTATGAAATTCTTCCCAGAAAGAATAGGGAACAGTGCCCTCCTCATCTCGGTCCAGCAATGCAGAAACAAGTATCCTCTCATTTGTAAAACTAAGGTCAATTTCAAACCCTTTTATCTTACTTAATGATGTTTGACACACCCCAATATGGGGTTAGATTTCTTTTAGTTTAAATATATGAAATAATATGATGTTTGGTTGGCTAATAATTATTTTATTAGGTCATTAAGTTATTAAACAAATTGAAGATAATGAGTTAGGTTGAATGTGGACAAATTGTTGGATGAGTGATTGATTAAATACATGGATTGATTTGTTTATAGATATAGATATATATATATATATATATATAAAGATAATGGATGAGTGATATATTGAATACATGGGGTTGATTTGTTTTTATATATTTCATGATAATGGGGGAGTGAATGAATGATTACGGTGATTGAAAATAAAAGATTTTTCTATTAATAATTTATTTTAAATATTTGGAACCACAACTTGAGGATATCCTAATCTTGGTGTTGGAGATAAGATAGAGAGACTTCAATATAATAATAACAGCATCAACGTGGCTATAAACAAAGAAGGGATAAGAGGAAGAAAACTGTCAAGGAAAGATTGGGTATTTTAAATGGTAACAGGAGAAGCTATATTGTTCTTGGCGGGAGGCTTCACTTCGTGAAGTTTGAGACAAGCAAATTTAATGAGTGTTTGGATTTTATTTCTTCCACACATCTTCACTGTGGCAAAATTGATTCCCATCATTGGAATTCTGAGGCCCCTGCCAACGAAAATGCAGTTATCAAGTTTTAAATCGGAGTTAACTTGGATCCTTCTCTGCCACCTGAATTAAGATTCGAGTTTTGGCAGTGTCTTGTGTTCTCTATTCTGAGGTATGACATGCTGTTGGGAGGGACAGAAAGCCACTTCGAAAACGGTATCTTGAGGCCATTGTACCACCTTTTGTTACTGCTTTGAGGAGGTGGCGCCGACTCCTCTACCAAGTCCACAAAGCAGCAGAGACTTTTCAGCATTAACCCCAAACCCAGGCAACTTTGTAATGAGATGCAGAGTCCGGGGAAAGTGAGAGCAGCAAACCGTCGGTGCAATTGGCCATGCAACAAGTAACATACATAGAGGATGCTGTCATCTTCATTGCACTCGCGGCTGCTATTGACCATAGCTTTAGTCTTTGGTTCATTGCAACATGGATACAACTAGATTTAATAATTGAGAGTGGTGCATGCAAGAGACACTTCACGTGGGTTATGTGGCAATGCCCTACACACCAATTACTTGCAAAATGGGGTGCCTTAAAAAAATATAGTGGGAAATCGCATCATGAGTCTTCAAAGCTTGGTAAGAACTTGGACTTGTCTCATAGTTTCCTTCAGTTTTAGTTTATAGCTCAATAGTGCAAATTGATTCGGTTCAGTCCCTAATTTTTAGTGATTAATTATTAAAGTAACCCCACAAGTATTCTATTAAACTAATTGGGTTTCCAAATTATTATTTCAATTCTAATAAGCTATCTTTATGGCGAGGAAAATTATTTGGATACGAGTTAGTAATTTTGATGGTCTGGATCGAGAGGAAAATATTGGAAGTTGAATCAAAGATCGAGGGCGTTCAAATGGAATTTAAATGGTCAACCAGTATGGCACGGAAAATCGAGGTAATACTTTACTACCTCTTTATGCTTTATGGAACATGTTGATATTGGTAAATGCATGGATAAGATAATGTTGATCACTTTTGTGAGTTAAATAATTTATACACTCGATATGAATGTGGTAGAAATTCTGTAACTGATTACGGGTCGAATGACTAATATAAGAGATTAAGGAATTGTTAGAATTAAATTACATGTTTGTGATTAGTGATAAAGAAATCAGCTATGGATTTGTAACTTATATTTTATATCATCAAAGGTTAAATGTTAAAGGTACTTGGATGAGAAATTATGAGAATACTCCGATAGGGTAAAATTACGAAAATACCCTTATGTTGTAGGATGACAAGAATTGTCCCTGGAAGTTGACTAATAACTTTGAAAGGATATATTGATCTGAGAAAACTACAGATGTGCATAAGAAATGCTAATTTGCTTAGAAAATTTGGATAATTGGGTTTTAACCCAATAAGGATTATGCAAAATACTAGAAGTCTGTTAAGAAATCATTTCAAGATCAAAGAATGTTCGGGAAAACAATTAACCATTGGATCTCTAAAGTA